CCTAATCTGAATTGGTCAATAAGATTGGTGAATCAGTCTCATAGCCAATCTAATGAAGAATTTTGGGTGGAATTAACTGGGTTGGATTTTATATTTCAATTTTACCTTACCTTACTAAATTTGGATTGTTGGCATTTTGAGTTAAAACAGATAGCATTATGTTATATTTGTGTTTAATAACTCTATTTTGTTGGAATACATGCGTGGTTTATACGTGAATGGTCAATTTTCCATTTCCTTGTGGATTAATGTCTTTTCTATTAAATATTACCCTTATCAAAGTTATATATAAATTTTTTATATTCAAATTAAATTAAATTATTTTAAATATGATTGGATTGACTATGATTTAATCATGATTAGACCAGTGATTTTTAAATTACTGTCTTAACCAGTTTAATGATTGGCCTGGTTTTCAATGAATGATAGGTTTTGATAACTTTTTTTTTTTAAAAAAAAAAAGAATACCACAGCTTCTTCTTTAACTTTTCACCTCTCCGTGTCGGATTCGAACTGGTGGCAAGTGGGAGGACTCTCAACCTTTGAGTATATGTTGATAACTTTGGTGATAAGGTTGATGATATTATCGTAGTGCTAACAATAATGATAAGATGGACATTGAGGTATTGGTATGGCCCACAATAACAACAAATCCAATATTGGTAATGGAACAATATTTCATAATGGCAGTCGTGGCTGTAGTCCTGGTGGCATTTATTGTAATGAGTGAGCCCTGCATAGTGTAGTCAATATTTCAAAAATAGTAGTAGTAATAATTAAGTTTAGCAGAAAGGGTTAGTTTCTCATAATATAACCAACTAAGGCTCTAATCTCTATTAGAAATGTTTTTACATATAATGGCTGATAATACCTTGAATAGGATTGTTTCTAATAAAAAGAAAAAATACAATGTTGTTCACTCAAGATAAATGGCAGTAGAATATAAAAATCGTAACTGAATCACTAATTGTGTTTATATTACAAAATATAGGAGATTATAGTGGAACATAGCGGGGTTCATTTGTTATTAGTGCTCCATTTGTCTGCGTATATTGATAATACATAGTTGATGTTTTAAAACTGGAAATGTTATATTGAACTAATATAAATTTTAGATACCAAAAAAAGAAAAAAGAAAAATGACTAACTTATTCTTCTATAAACGATAAATGATTTAGATTTGAGACCTTGATCACTTGATAGTGATTTGGTTTTCTTCGGTCTTTATTATCAGTACATTTCAAAAAGATACTTCTATATCATAAATATAAGTTACTTTTAAAGACGTGTATTATATTAATTATTTTTCTTTCATTTATCTTGAATTTTCATGCAAAGTCGCTCACTATATGCACGGGGAGACTTTTCTAGTTTATACTATAGATTTTTAGTTTAAAAAGCAATTAATAATTTATCATAATTAATAAAAATAACGGTGAAAACTGTTAGACTTGGTTATTAATGAAATGATTTAATTAAGTGACCAGGATTCAACTTATTTTCTTTAATATACACGCATATTAAAAGTGACTTGCATTAAGAATCATAATGGTTTTAATTTTCTCATCTGAAATGGAATATAAGACATGAAACACTTTATAACGCTGCACATCTCATTATTTTACGGCATGCAGCGTTAAGGTTTTATAAGGCGAATTAAGAGTTACAAGAACAGCACTAGGAAACAAATGTAACTCACTGGATGGAACTTGTCTTTCTTTGATCCTATTCACAAAACTTCCCTTGATAATACACGCACACACTCCACTGGGTAATGAAAGGGTGCTACTATTACGTACATTTGATTTTAACAATTCGGAGAGAAGGCGTACGTAAAAGGTTGTCGCGGCAAACAGTAAAAAGGAGAATGAAAAAGTGAAACTGTAAAAAGGTTAAGGCCTTGGGACTTTTTAAATGACTTTTAATTGATCTGGTTTCTATGAACAACAGAGATTATAATATTTCAGTTTCACTTTTTATCATGTTTTAACACTTTCCATGACGGTTATTTGAACAACCAGCATGAAAAGCTTGAATCTATCTATAAAATTATTGTCACTTTTTTTATGATTTTTTTTCAGGTTTAACACCAGAGTATCCTCACACTCCAGTAGTGGGAAACTAATCTCTTTGGACTTGCAGAGACCCAATTATGGGAGCTACCCTCCCAAACACGCCACTCCATTCCCATCCTCCGATAGAATCAAAGCCGGAAGCAATGGTTAAGGGCCACAGACAAGTAGGAAAAAAAGACAACATAAAAAGACAAGTAGAAGCCTCTTTTTACTGCATTAATCATTTCTCACACACATCTTTTTGCTACTTATCATCTCTGTCATTAACTCTCTCTTCTTATAAATAAGAATTTTTTTAGAAATAAAATACTTTTTTTAATATCTATCTTTTTTAAACTAACTTTCTTATTTGCATAATTCAGTTATTTATATATTACCATTCTAGTTCTATTTATAAGATAGAGAGAGAATATTTTTATCCTATTTATAAGTCACGTTATCATATTTTTGATAGAAATATACTATTTTACCCTCTTTTTTTCTTGCATTGACTGTTATATTGTTGGAAAGTTTATATGTTAAATAGAGATAAAATTAAAAAATTGTTAAATTTTAAAATAGACATTTGGCAAAAAAAAATTAATGGCACGTTTATGTTAAATTAATTTGATACCTGTGTCTTTTTCTCTTTATTAAATCCTTTAATTTTATGCTATTAACATAATTAGCTTCTGTACAATAGCTAACAATATTAATAGAGTAAAGTTCTAGGAATTAATCGTCCTAAGAGAGTGAAATTAAAGGATTTGATAAGGAAAGAAAAGCATACAAATACCAAATTAATTAATTAGAAATTGAAGAAAACTACATGTACCTCAAAAATGGTTTTTTCTAGCTACTCCATCCGATCCATAATATAATACTCCCTTTGATTCAAATTATAAGATAAATTTTATCCATTTATATTTATCAAGAAATTAATTAAATCGATTTAAAACAATAAATATATAAAGCATGTATTTTTTTCTTAAATATACCCTTATTAATGAAGAAAATAAGTAAGAGATGTAGTAAATAAGTCAAAGAGGAAAAAGAAGGTAAAATTGGTAAAAATATATTAAATGCTTAGACCAAAAAAGAAAATCAAATCTTTTCAACAAAGTTTAGCTTATATTTTGAACCAGAAAGAGTATAAGACATTAGCTAAACTTTCTCACAAATCAAGAAATGTTAGCTAAGTTATTAAATGTGTTTCAAATTGATAAAAGTTACATATTTTACCTTTAGTTAATAAATATGATTGGACCAAAATTTTATTATAAAAGACTTCTTACATTATGAAACTTATCAACCGGAGGCAGGGTTGTAGTTAGCGACGTTGGGAAGGCAGAAGCACGTTAACTCTGGCTCATCTAAAGTATATTTGGAATAACTTAGTAGCTTTTCAATTATCATTATAGAATATGAGGTAAGTATGTGAAAAAAAATTTTATCTTAATTTATATAAAATGTACTTATAGGTATTTTTTATTATCATCCCAAATAGGCCCGAATATTGGTCAATGTGCGTTGAGTACTCTTGCTTATTACGTGAGGGAACTTGTTTTATCCGAGTCCACATCAGTCATTAATGTCATACTGTAGACATCTCATACAACCTGAAACGGTAAGGGAATATGATATATTTTTTTAATTATCATCTGATAGAAAAATTGTGAAATACTAATATGGGTTAAGTTTAGCGGAAGAGTTAAGCCAATCTCTTGTAAAGTGGTAAATTGAGTTTTAAATTTTTACTGAAGGAATAGTCCATATTTAATAAATTATGGCGTTTAAAAGAGACTTCTAATAAAGAGATATTTGTATTTAATTTAAAAAAACAAAATTTGTGAACGATGCAGATGGTAAGTGGTAAAGTGTTAGTTGAAAAATAATTGGCAATCCGTAATGACAGAGACAAAAATTACACAAAAATATATGTGGTCTTTAATTAATTTTTCGTTATCACTTTAACTCTTTGAGGAGTAACTGCAGGTCTTCAATTAAAAATTATCAATGTTTAGTAATTGAGGATTTGCTCCAATTCTCTCGCTAATGAACTTTACCGCCCTTGGAAATCGGAGGCTCACGGCGGAGGTGGCAGATCTCCTCCAACGGAGTAAACGGAAGGTCGAATCTGTTGACGATGCCGGTGGATCAGGTATGATAAAAAGGCAGAATGTGGAAGCTCTGGGATTTTTGGAGGAAGGTCGCTCATATAGCCAGGCATGAACGATGGAGTCAGAAGGGCGGCAGTGCCAATGTGATGGATAAGGGAGTTGGAGGAGTGGAAGAAGACGAGGAAGGTAGGAGTCAAGGAGGTGCAGCGTAAGATTGGGACGTGGAGCATCCCTGAGTTCGTACCCACCGAGGAAGAGAAAAGTAGAATCAGAAAGCCCATCAGAAAAAAATCTGAGTGGTACGGGTTAGCAAGAAATCTGGGCTATTGTTCTGCATATCAGGCGGAGTTGTGGGAATGTTTTGGTAGGTTCGGAGCAGTGTTGGAATACTGAAGGTGAAGGTTGAAAATAGAGGAAGAGGAGATGGGTGCCATTGTTGGATCTTTGTTGCAGATGATCCAGTTGGAGGAGGAAAGACTGGATTCTGAAGTTCACTCGCGTGTTGAGGGAGGAGAATAAGGTGGCAGATAACATAACCAATATGAATTTAGAGCTAAGCATTGGCACGCATGTATGGAGGGACTGTGGGACAAATTAGCCTTTTATGTTTTGCTGATAGATGGGGAATTCAAGTAGATAGAGTGGCTGATTGTTCCGTGGTTTTTTGCTTTGTTTTTTTTTTTTTTTTTGTTCTATTGTACTGTTTTGTCTGATTTTTAGGCTAAGACTCATTCCTCTACGGGGGGGAAAAACAAAATAAAAACATAATTACCTCCTATTCAGTGCTCAGTCTCAACATTTTCAAGAATTCAAACAATGCAAATTATGCAAAAACAACCTTCCTTGTATCACTAGATGGGCTTGGCAGAATTCAAACAACATATTAATAATTAATAATATCTCTCATTAATCTGAGCATCTGTAAGTGGCCAAAGCCAATAAATACGAGAAGTCTGCCGTTGCCCCAGATAGAATTCACCAACTCAACATGTTTAATACTTGTATAAGTTTACAATTTATACGTTGATGTTTAAAGTGTCAGAGGTCAAGGAAAATGAAAATAAGCTCATTAGAAGAACCTATTGGAAAAGATAACCGAAAATCTCAGTAAAAGAGAGACATACAAAATCTGCAGCATACCCCTGCCAGCCCAGTATCCCAAAACCTGTAAAATACAGCAAAATTTACTTAGACATTAGAAACAACATTAAGATAACACCAGCAAGCAGAAATTCAAATGAAATCCACACAGTTATAATGATCATTAACACCTAATGACCAAATTACTCAGGAAGTTGATAAATTAAACTGTAACGTCCAAAAAGGAACCTGCCAGAACTTGGTTATGAAACTCCATTCCGTTTCGGCGACAACCACAACAAAAGCTAACAACACAGCGTAACACCGGAATTTGTCATCGAAAACCTAAAACCCACTCACAACAATGAGAAATGAACAGCGAAAACAAGATGAGGCAAAATTGAATGTAACACGTATAAGGGAAAGAAAAGGTAACGCACATCAGATCCGTTCTTGAAGGAGTGCACAGCAGAGAGGATATTGACGGCGATGCAAAGGATGGCAGCCAAACAGGTCAATAAACTGAAGCACCTACACGCTGCCGAGAAAGGATCCGGTCTGGCTCTGGCCCGGATGCTCGACGGAGTTCTGGGAACGCTCTCTTCCTCGCCGTTCCTAGGCATTTTCTTAAGCTTTCTCAGATGAAACAAGGAATGCTAGTTTCCGATTCGCCAAACAAAACTTCCTCACATTTTCTCGAGCTTCCGAAGATAATTTTCGTGCAAAACGCTTTGAGAGTTCTCGATGACAGAGTCTCTACATGGAATTCTTCACATGCCGCTCAAGGCAACGAAAACCGAATGGCGAAGTGACACGTGGTGATCATAATACTGAATTTTCCCCTAAAACATAGATATCTTTGGAGACAATTATATTCAAGATACTGTTGTGTATTAAATGTATGTACCTCTTCTATCGGGGATTCAAATTTTAATTTTTCATATTATGAGAGACTTATTCTTTTTATTAAACCCAACTCAACTCGTATTGGTGCAAATAAAATGTTAATATCTGCTCTTTAAAGTATAAATACGTAGGTAATTTGCAACCGTGGACTATCGGACACTTTAATAATGACATGAATAAACCAAAGCCCAAGGCCATTTACGTAACGACATATAATGGTCTTGGTGTTGGCCCACTTCATCAATTGGGTTGATGTAAGATAGGCTTTGTTAGGATACACAATGGATGAGGGTGGTCATCAAAGGAAACTTAGGCTCGGCATGGCAGTCCACAATTTTTTTTTGGTTGTTGCATTCCAAAATTTTGAAGCCAGGGGCAAGTGCTTTGGTACGCCCTAATTCTAATAAGCTTTCAGGATCCAATTCATTTATAATTTTTTTGGTACCAAAAAAAATTTGAGGGCATCTGAGGGGTTTACCAAATATTTCACCGGAGGGATAGGTGCTTTTTCATCCTAAGGGAATTTTCCTCTCTTTTTTTTAAAGAGAAATTTTTCTAAACCTTTTAAAATCTTAATAACAATAGTATTTATTCTTTAGGCCCCATGTATTCCAATCCAATCCAAATAAATATATCCAATAACATGTAATTATAAAAGTCTTAAAAATTTATTAATGCATGCAATAAATAAGTTTTTAAAGTAGTACTACCCATGCGTTGGATGGAAAGGAAGGAAATAAAAGAGAAGGAAACCAAAAGGAAAAGAAAAGAAAAATTTATAGCCATGCGGAATGTCTCCATTGCATATTCTCTCCACTTATTCTCCATTTAGTTAAAACACAGTGTTCAGGGTAAAAAACAAAATCTGGATCGTCTCTTTTTGCAATGACACTGAGGGCTTGTTTGGAGCGTCATTCAAAACGGACTTTTAAGTAGATTTATATAGGCCGAGATAAAACTTTCTTCACATATTTATCTCGTATTCTGTAAATTACATTTGAAAAGCTACTTATAAGTTAATCCAAACAAGCACTCAGCCGTTCTTTGTGATTTCATTTCAGCCACTGTTATTTTTTTTCTATTCCTCCATCACCCACCATAGTCCTCTTCACCCACCAGAGATTTCTAAATGTTCAGAGCTCTTTATCATCCTCGTCCATCATGGTGGCCTTTGAATATGATTCGATGAGATTCGTTCTCTTTCATGTCTGATGAGATGAAGCAACTTCTTGGAATAGAGGATCCTTATTCTAGTTATATCTGTCTACCATTTTTATTGACTTTGTGCATTCATGTTTTAATTATTCATTTGAATAAATTAGGACTTCTTTTTTGTTTGATCTGATACACTTTTGAGACATGTTTCTCGATTTTTTTATCCAAACAAGTAGCCTCTGATATATATATATATATATATATATATTACTACCTTTTGTCCTTAATATAAGAGCTCATTTGACTTTTATTTTGGTTATAAATATAATATCATAATCCACTTTGTCTCTTATATTTATCTATTTTTTTAAGATAGTCTTTATAATAATAGTAGTTCTAACCAATACACTTGATTGGTAAAGATATTTTAGAAAAGACAACATACATTTATTACAAATAACTAACTTAACTAACTTTTTAACCTACTCAAATTAGTCAACTAGCTCTTATATTAAGAACCGGAGGTGGTATTATCATAGTTCGTGGAATGGCTCTGGGGCTTTTATCAACTTTTTCCTTGATCTATGATACAAAGTGTGAACTACCAAGGTCAGTATGGAAAGAATGGAAACGAAATGGCTCCTTTTTTGTAGTATTATTTTTCTGCTTAAACGATTATAAGAAGCCAGCAGCCAAAAACTTAAAACTTAAAAGGGATGCATATAAACCGACGAACACCTCTTTTTCTCCGATGATTTCTACTCACATACCACTTTCGGGCAGCTGAATTTGTAAGTGATGACATTAGATTTGGGGGGGGGGGGGGAAAACTGACCAGATATTTTGTTTTTTTTACCCTAAATGCTGTATTTTAATTAAATGAAGAGTAAGTGGAGAGGGTATGTAATAGAGACATTCCGCCTTGAGCACTAGAACCTCGTACACAAAAAGAAAGGGTTAAAAAAAGATAAATAATAAGTTTTTTAAAAAATAAAAAATAAGATATAAGATACCCAAAACATCCTCGTTTCATCTCCCCTTTCTCTCTTAACTCTGTTTTTTTTTTTTTGATATACTGGAAGAAAAAGAAAAACGATTAAACTACATTATTAGTCTGCAACAAACTCGTGACCACTTCCTTGTTGAGCACTTGCAGTCCCATAGCTCCATTCAACGCTATCCTTGCTAGCTTGTCCGCCTTTGAGTTGTCATCCCTTCGAATAACTTGAAGCTTAACACTCCAATTTCACCGAAGCATATTCTGGATCTCTTTGACAGTAGCCCAGTCCTCATGCAGTTGGTTTTCTTCGGTGAGAATGGTTTGTACAGCTTCTGAGGAATCGCTGTGTAAGATCACATCTCTTAGGCCCATATCCCATGCGCATTTCATCCCCATCAAGCACCCCCAGAGTTTTGCCGTGAGATGGTCGCCACTTTCCAAATTCAGAAGAAAGCCTTCTCGTATGTTCATGTTTTGGTGATCAACGATAATACCCCCACAAGCCGCCCTACCAGTGGAGGCCGAGAACGCACCATCAACCATTACAGCAAAAGCTGCCTGCGTGTGCTCAGAGATAGGTTTAGTGACTTGTTGCTGGGGCGTGTTCATATTTACTCCTTTCAGCTTCGTTATCGAGTTCATCATACTCTGCATAATGGCTGACACTCTAGGTGTCAAAGTACTCAGGTCTGTACTGATATTTGAGTGAGTGAACTCATTCCTTGCTCTCCATAAGAGCCAGCACATGATGAAGAGAAGTCCTCTCCAATCGCCTTTGAACCTGCCTATGTGTTTCCTCATGTTGAGCTGAAGCCAATCTTGTAAATTACTAGAGAAGAACCGGGATAAATATTCAGGTTTGATAATATTCTCCCAGACTTTCCGAACCACCGTACAATCTCTCAATGCATGGGTTACTGTTTCCACTTTATTGTCGCACCTATCACAAAGACCATTGGGGTGAAGGCCTTTATTCAGTTTTCGTTGGTTAGTGGTGATCCGTTCATGAAACAACAGCCACGCAAATGATCTACATTGCTATGGAACCTTTAATTTCTAGATATTGTTCCAGTTGGTAGTCGGTTTCTCACATGGGCGATTTAGAGCTTTGTATGCAGATTTGGTTGTGAAGCAACCACTTTTTTCCCACTTCCATCTAGCACAGATCTTCCCCTGGTTATCTTTGACTTCTTGAAGCCCCGCTTTGACATGCTTCCAGTTATTTTTGATCCCTCTCCAAGTATTAGACCCCTATTTTTTTGTATTAATATGGGGTATGAGACCTGACCCACACCCATATTTGTGCCGGATGACCTTTACCCAAAGGGAATCTCTCTTGGTGACAAGTCCCCAATCCAGCTTCATCATAAAAGCTTTATTCTGTTGTTTGATATGTCTCATGCCCAGTCCTCCAACCTGTTTCTCATTACAGACGTGGTCCCAAGACACCAAATGCATCCTCCTTTTTTCATCAGACGACCCCCAAAGAAAGTCTCTTGCTTTTTTCTCTATCCTGTTGCAAGTATTATCTGGAATATAAGCCGTCTGCATCGCATGATTAGGCATTGCATTTATGACAGCTTTCACAAGAGTATCACGACTTGCAAAGGACAGGCTATTTGTTTTCCAACTGCTTAGTCGACGTGAGATCTTATCAACGATATACTGGTAAGTTCCGTTAGAGACTCGATCATGTTGCAAAGGGACTCCCAAGTATCTTCCCAGATCTGCTATCTGACAAAACCCAATTTCTCTGCTAAGCTAAGCAGCTCTGTTGTGGTTGATATTTTGAGAGAAGAAAATTTTTGTCTTTCCTTGATTGATTCTTTGGCCTGATTCTTCACAAAACATATTCAAGCAATGCCTAATCACTTCCACCTGTTCAAGACTAGCTTCTGCAAAAATTAACAAATTATCAGCAAAAAACAAATGAGAAATTGGGGGATCGTTCTTACCTAGTCTGATAGGTTTCCATTTTCCCGTATTGATCTCGTTCTGGACGATGTGGGCCAATTTTTCCATACACAAGACGAAAAGGTAAGGTGAGAGCGGGTCTCCTTGCCTGAAGCCTCATGAAGGCTTAAAATTGTTTGCTTGTTCCCCTTCTCAAAGAATTTGCATTTTAGGAGAGGAAATGCAAGCGTGAATAACTTTTTGAATTGACTCCGGCATTCCCATTTCTTCAATGCACTTCATTGCAAAATCCCACTTCATGCGGTCATAAGCTTTCTCTAGATCTATTTTGATGGCCATGTAACCACGCTTGCCTTTCATGTTATGCATTGAATGAACGACTTCTTATGCCACCACAATGTTATCTGAGCTTGTACGACTAGGGACAAAGCTACATTGATTGGGTGAAATTATGCTGGGGAGGCAACCTTTCAATCTATTTACCACAACCTTGGTAATAATCTTGTAAATGACGTTACATAAACTGATAGGCCTGAAATCCCCTATTGTCTCTGGATGATCCTTCTTAGGTATGAGAACAATAAAAGTGTGATTAATGCTTTCAATAAGAGAGGGGTCATTGAAAGCATGTTTGACCATTCTAATTACGGAATCACCTACCAAGTCCCATTGACTCTGAAAGAAGAGAGCATTTAACCCATCTGGTCCTGGGGATTTTAGAGCACCCATAGCATCAAAGGCCATTTTAATTTCTCCATTGCAAATGCTTCTACTTAAGCTCTCCAACTGCGTGTTCTCCATTTGTGGGTATGAGACGTTGCATTCTCGGATATCAACATGGAGTCCATCATCCCTGAATAACTCTACAAAATAATCCGTAGCAAGTTGTTTTATTCTGTCAGTATCATCCGTCCACTCTCCGTTGTCTTGTTGGATAGCCTCAATTTTATTTTTCCTCCTACGCCCATTTGCTCTAGCATGGAAAAATTTTGTATTCTTATCCCCAAGAGAGTACCAATCACATCTTGCTTTCTGAGCCCAAAGAAGGTCCTCTTGAAGAATCACATTCTCTAATTCAAGCCACAGTTGGCGTTGAAGTTGTTCAAGAGAAGAAGTACTTCCTGAAGATGCCATGTTTCGGGACAAGCCTTCTAATCTCCCTATCAAATTGCTCTTCTTACGCCCTATGTGACCAAACGCGTCTTTGCTCCAGCTAATAAGTTCGTTTGTGAAATTGCTAATATTCTCGACCCACTGGGCATTATTTCCCCATTTATCTTTCACTAATATGCAAAAATCATCATGCAGCACCCAAGGAGCATTAAAACGAAAAGGCCGACTAGTATTAGAATTCGAAAACATACCTGGTCTTAGTTGGAGAAGGATGTGATCAGACTTGAACCACAGTAAACGTTTTACGACAGCGTCGAGATAAGTTTCTTTGGCTTTGGAGTTTGAAAGGATACGATCTATCCTACTTTCACAGCCCTCTCTTCTCCAGGTGAAGAAAGGTCCTACACAACCCATATCCGTGAGCTGCATCTCCTTTACCCAATCACAGAAGTCTCAATCAATAGACGTCGTTCTCCATGCATTAGAGCGTCTTTCATGAGAGAAGAGAGTAGCGTTGAAGTCTCTGCCTATAAACCACGGCCATTCTTGACCTGGATTAAGTCTCTGTAAACTTGACCAGAGGGCCCGACGGACATTTACGTTGGGCCAAGCATATACTGCAGTAATGAAGATCTACTCATTATTTCTATCGATGGTTGCATGAATATACTGCTCGTTAACTTCGATGATAGAAACTGTGATATTATCCTGGTTCCAAGTGACCCAAATTCCTCCCGGGAAACCCAACGCATCAACAGTCTTGCAGTGTTGAAACCCCAACTTCTTGCTAATATCTTGTGTTTTGGTTCCACTCGATTTGGTTTCAAAAAGTGCACAAAAGTCTAGTTTATATCATTTTTTAAATTCTCTAATGAGTCCAGGAAAAGACTTGGACCCAATTCCCCTGCAGTTCCAAAAGATGTAATTCATGGAGCACCAAGTAAGGGGGAATTCATGCTTATAGACCCCGTAGAATTTATGAGATTTTCTTGGTTCCTGTGAAATGGTTTATCATTCGAGTTTTCCTCCAATGGCTCATTCATCTCCATTTCAGTGTTGATACTTGGGTTTTTTTCCTGGAGATGTCATCCTTTCTTGCTCCATCAAGTCGTTATACTGCTCATCCGTCCTAGTTTCCAGGTGCTGCCCAATAAAATTATCTTCTTGAGGTCCATTTTCATTCAAACCTATTAAGGTCTCAAATGGGTTATGGGCTTTCCAAAAATTGGCTTTATTCTGCAGCCCATTTACCGAGATCATTGCTTTGTGAGAAATGGAGCCGCGTTTTGATGATTGAGGAATATTCTCCTTGCCACTACTTTTCTTTTTATTTTTCCTTTGAAAGCCCTGATCCACGGGGACCCATTTCAGATTACCAAGAGATTTCTTTCCAAACTGACGAGTTTGACTTATATGCTCCTTCCCAAAAGGTCGGCCTTGGTTATTACTCACGATCATGCCTCTGATTCTGTCAGCATTATTAAGCTCATCTATCTTTATAACCCTACGATTTTCGCGCGTCTGGTTTGATTCCCTGAATCCTGGTGATTAATCCCAGATCCTGTTTTGCCGGGATTTCCATTTTTCCTTCCTCTAGACCGTTGCACGAGATTCCACACACCCATCCCTTCCGTTTGCAGTGCACTCTCCTTGCCGGAGCTCTATCCGACGGCCGTCATAACACAAGGGTGCTTCGGGATACCACTCTTAGAGACGTTGTGTTGAGCATCTGTAGCTACCTCTTTCGGATCCACATTCAAGTCCACACTTACCTTCTCCTTTGCCTTATATTGTTCCAGAATCCCATGCTCCGTTGCACCAGTGTTCATTTCAGAAGTGACGCATCGGTCAGGACAGCTTTCCCTGTGATGTCCATATTTCCCACACTGGAAGCATATGAGATGAAGTCCCTCGTACTCCACTATGCGACGCTTTCCAAACACGTTAATGGTTGACTTTAGCTTTTTCTTGAGATCTAACTCAATGCAAATTCGTGCAAACCATCCTCTTTCGCTGTTATACGTAATCGTATCAACTTTTAAGTTCTCCCAAGTAGCTGTCCAATCCTTCTTAGGCTTTCCGTGTTAAAGAATTCTAAAGGAAGGAGTGGTATACGTACCAGACTGCAATTCTCTTCTGCACTTCGGCTTCTTAAGGATCAAAGTTTGGCCGCCACTGTTGCACTGTCAGATAGTGATCAGCAATCATCCAAGGCCCTTCTTGATAGACAGTGTTCATATCCTCCTCATCATCAAATGAGACAACAAAGAATCCATTATCTAAGTCCCGTGTTGTGTGTGGATGTTTTGTTCTCCATAAGCGTGCGAGATTAGATTTCATAACCCATAAAGGTATAGATTTGCCCATTAGCTTAATGATGAGAGACCTCCTCCATGGTGCGCACCACCGTTCATATTCTTCTCGAGTCACTTTCAGCGTTGGGCAATCTTCCTCATTGTCCTCGGATTGATTCTGCTCTTGTTCACTTTCCACGTTGATAAAGTAACCCTTCATACTTTCAAGATAGTCATTCCAAGCATCATCAAAAATCATACTTCTCTTTTATCTTTGGATTTGGCTGCGTTCTTCGTTCCCATCAGTTTTGCTTTAAAAGACTTTGCTTTCTCATGCCTCTCCTCTAGTTCGATCCCTTCCTGCAAGTCTTGCAAGTCGTTTCTCATTTCCTTGTATTTTTTCCGGTGTCTTTTGGTCGGATCGTCGTCTTCCGTCGCTCCTCCGGCACCACCACTTTCAGAGAGAGTTTCCGCCATCAGAGTGAGATAGATGGATAATATATTATCTTTCTCTCTTAACTCTATTTTTCCGTTAATTTTTCTCTTCCCACGTTTACACAAATCGATTTCATTACAAGTGTGTCTTCTTCCTTCGAATCCAGCAATGCAAAATTGATTTCTATGCCAATGAAAAAATCGATTTCTTACATGAAACCGATTTTGACCCCTTCTTTCCTACTATGTTTTTCGTCCTTCACTGATTCCTAGAACTTCAAAACTGTTATGCTCCATTATTTGAATGCAAATCTTCCTCAGTTATTAATCTTTAATTTATTCTTTTCTAGACTCAAAGTTCCTAGTTAATCATTGCCCAAAATAACCCAAATCAATGGATGTTCATGATAGACATAGAAACGGAGCATAGAGTTCACTTTAACACCTATCTTCCATAGCTTAACATTCTCATACAACTCTATTCATATCACTTTCATTCATATTCTTAATTCGAATATCTCAGGACGTTGGATGAATCCTAAAAAAGAGACGATAATTTCCAAACTTTGTATAGTTATCTTGAAGATAAAATGGTATGAATTCTATTGTTATTTAAAGTACATTTCTGACGCATAAAGACTAACTTGAGACAACCCAAACCCAGATGCGCAGTTCAAAATTCTCAAATTTCAAGTCGTTAATATATTAATACGGGAGACATCATCACTCTCCATATATGTTCCCACAATAGAACAATATAATCCAAAGGGTGAAAGATTGTAGCAGATAAATTTTGATTTAACATTTATCCAACAAGCTAGTAGTTCCTTGAATATTGCATTAATATGGCCTTGCTTTTTCCCAGTGACACCACAACCTCTGACATATTAGGTCTTGCCTCAGGTGCATCATCGCAACAATTTAAGGCTAACTCAAAAATTGGTGATATATACAGCAATATATTACCAATTTTTTGATTGCTTGTGTGCAGCAAATTGACATCTACGATACTGATGATTGAATGTGGTGTTGATTTGCTAACAAATTCTTTCAGATTCAGATCTTGAGTAAACATTTCATCTGTTGGGTTCTTCCTTGTAAGCATTTCCATAAGCAAAATACCAAAGCTGTATACATCTCCTTTCATTGAAACTGTTCCTTTTGATCCATACTCTACATATAAATTTGAATGCTAAATTAACTAGTTGAATAACTTAAGTTTCTTCTAGCATATGCATGTACGTATATAAGCATATTTGTTTGTGCACGTGTGCACAGGCATAAATGAATATAAGAAACATAAATTAAATAAAACTTAATATGAGTGCTAAATTATTACCTGGTGCCATATAACCAACTATAGCCAAAGTTTCTGTATAAATTTCTGATTGACAGTCAATTAACAATTTGGCAATTCCAAAGTCACTTAAATGGGCCACCATATCTTCATCCAATAAAATGTTGCTCGGCTTCACATCACAATGGACCACTGGGATAGGAGAACCATAATGAAGATACTCTAACGCTGATGTCACATCTATCATTATATCCAATCTTTGCACTATATCTAAACAGTAGTTATGGGAGTACAACCATCTCTCAAGACTTCCATTTGGCATGAATTCCATTACAAGAGATTTAAAATCAACATTTGAGCAACTGCTAATGATCTTAATGAGGTTTCGATGACGTAAATTGCAGATGGCAGCACATTCAATGTCAAAACTCCTTAATGCTTCTTGCAAGTTTGAGTTGAATACTTTTGCAGCAACTATCTTTCCATTTGAAAGAATTCCTTTGTAGACTAATCCAAAACTTCCCTTGCCAAGAAAATTACTCCCATCAAACCCATTTGTTGCTTGCAAAAGATCATAATAGGATATCCTAGCCAGTGTGTCCAAATTTAAAGAGTCTCTATTATTCATCTCATGACTAACATGACCCTTCTTAAACTTAAGAAACTTTAGGCATGAGGCAACCAAAATGATTGCAGAAGCCATAGGCAATAAGCATTTGATGACAAGCATTATTTTAGTTGAGATGTGCTTGTTTCCTTTTTTGCATGGAAGGACTTTTAGCTGGGGCTCCCCACAAAGATCTTCGTTCATTATAAAAGATTCATATGTAAAATTAGGAAAAGGCCCACCATTTGGAATTTCTCCATGCAATAAATTGTATGAAAGATTAATGTACTCCATTTGGACAAGTAACTCTAAGGACTTTGGAATCACTCCAAACAAATAATTTTGGGAGAGATCCAAGGATTCCATATTTATCATGCCACTAAATGATTCAGGAATAGACCCTTGGAGTTTGTTATGAGCCAAAGATAGATGTTGCAATGTTTTCAAATTGCCCATAGTTGTTTCCTGAAATTTGATTTCTTGATAGATTGAAAAGTATAATTGCTTTCAAGTTTGATACCTCAGGAGAAATTCTTCCACCTAATGTATTGGAGGATAAGTCTAAGAATAACATATCTTCAAGACTCCAAAGAGAAGAAGGTATATGAGAAATCAATTTGTTAAAGCTTAAATCTAACCTCCGCAAAGAAGTATTTGTTAAGCACTTTGGAATCATCCCTGAAAACATGTTGCTGTCTAGATACAATTCACTCAAACTTCTGATTTGGCACAATTCATTTATGATGGACCCTTGCAATCTGTTGTTGCTAAGACTTAAATATTGAAGGCTTTGCAGTCCATTAATTGTACTTGGAATCATCCCATTCAAATCATTCTCCTCAGAATATAATGCGATCATGTTTGTTAGATTCCCAAGCGGAGTGGGTATATCTCCACTAAACTTATTCCATGATAGATCTACAATAGTGAGCTTAGAAGCATTTGAGATGCTGATTTGAATTTGTCCAATAAATTGATTTTGTCCCAACCTTAGTTCCCGCAGATTGGGAATGCCAATTCCTAAATTTGATGGGAGAAAGCTAGAAAGGGAATTATTTTGAAGGAAGACACGTGCCAATGTCGTAATGTTGAATATATGAGAAGGAATGGATCCGCTGAAATAGTTAGATAGTAAAACCAAATCTTCAAGCTTATCAAGATTGCCTATCTCCTTGGGTATAAGACCTGGAAACAAAATTAAAAGCTGCTGGGTAACTACCTTAGAAAACAAAAGTTGATGGATGACAAAATTTATGTAAAGTAGAAAATTGACAAAACAGGTAACATGATATGTTTTTTACGTGGGTGTTTTTGTAGCATACTACTTCCGATCCTTAATATAAGAGCTAGTTGACCAATTGAGTAGATAAAAAAAATTAGTTAAGTTAGTTATTTGTAATAAACATGTATTGTTTTTCCTAAAATATCCTTGTTAATCAAGTATATTAACTAAAACTACTATTATTATAAAGACTATTTTGGAAAAAAAATAGATGACTATAAGAAACAAAGTGGATTAGGCTCTTATACTTAGGACTAAAATAAAAGTCAAACAAGCTCTTATATTAAGGATCAGAGGTAGTATATATGTTTCAAAATTTGAATTAACTTCTCTATATTAGAAGAAAACTCCAGATATCTTATTAATTTCAAATTTTTCCCATGCTAGGAAGTCCACATCTAAATATAGGAAAGAGAGGAAACTAATTTCATCCATGTAAGAAATTAGTTACCTCCAAGGTAGTAATTTACATGTGGGTAATATCTTTATCATTCCTTATTTGTCACAAAAAACTCTATCCAATTTTCGGGCAAGGATTCTATACAGGAAAAATTAGAATGAAGAACCTAGAGCGATTGATATTTATCGATGATGATCATAAAAATTATAATTATTTAAAAGAACTAAACATCAAAATATAAATTTAAAAATAGTAAATTACCCCTAATCAAATTAAACCTCTTACATTATCTCTGCCACATTCTATTCTTAAAACTTTAAATTTTACTAAAAAATTTTCCCAAATTAAACAAAATTTCCCTCAATTTTTACTACTTGCATAGACATCTATTGAAAAAACATTACACGAACACTGTTCAATTTTGACACAATTAAAATTTTACCTTTAAAATCATAAGAAACTTTAATTAAAAATAAAAAATTATATAATTTTAGTATTGTCAAGTTCTCCAATCATATATGTCCATATGTCCTTTTTTGTTTCATGTAAATTATAATTAAATGCTAATATATTAAAAATAGGACACATGGTCATGTGCAACATAATTAATATAGAGAACTTGATGTAATTATTTTCATTTAAAGAAATGTTATATATATCTAGAAAATAAAAATAAAATCAACCCATTAAAAAAATTCAAGGGAAGTTTGGTTTAATTTTTTTATAAGAAATTTATGTGAGTTATAAATATAAAAATCCATGTAATGTTTATAAATTTTTTTAATTATTTGCTCTTATATTTATATATAGATAATATATATGGATTCATGATATTAAAAAAAAAAGATATATGATGTGCGGATTAGATTATTCTTCTTAAATGATTTTGAGGAGTGAATCCTATAATATACACATAATGTAAAACTCCAATAAATCATACCATTTATTCATACTATTTATTTACAAACTAAAAATTATAAATAACATGATTCTTTTTTCATAATTTCATGAGATCCACAATAGTTTGTTCATAATTTGACGTTATAAATTTTAAATTGACAATATAAATCACCAAAAAAAATTGATGATAGAAATGGATAAATATTGATTGCTGGTAAAAAAAAAAGGATGAAAATTGATATTAATAATTAAATGATACCTTGATGATAGGAAAGAGGATAGAATATGGACCTCGGTGAGGAATAAAAGTTGAAAAAGATATAGTCATGTGGATGATAGGCATTTTTAATTTTAGTTTTAGTTTTATTCTTTTTAATTTTAAATGTAGGACAGAATGTATGAGGTAGGAAAAATTTAATACTTTAAAGGTTAAAGCATACTTTTGGTCTTTTAATTTTACACAAAGTTTCATTTTAATCCCTTAACTTTAAAAAGTAAACTTTTAGTCCTCTAACTTTAAAACTATTAACAAAAAAATGATAATATTGAGCTTTTGAATGTTGATAAAATATTACTAAATGCTAACGTGTTAAGTTTAATATTCAAAACAACCATGATTGTTACAAAAAATCATCATTTAAAACTAACAATTTTGGGATTAAAGGACTAAAAGTATATTTTTTAAAGTTAAGGGATTAAAGTAAAATCTTACATAAAGTTAAAGGACCAAATATATACTTTAGTCTACTTTAAACGTGTACTTTTAAATTTGATCCTTCTAAATAATTATAATTTTTATGATCCTTTTTAATAAATATTAATGGAACTACAAATAAATATTTTGCAATTCATGTCTCAAATTTTAATGTTATACAATTTCTGATTCTTACTATAAGACCCAATTGATTAATTTGAGGAGATTAATAAGGTTATTAACTTACTTAATTATAAGATATATTACATGATCTCTAAAATGCTTATGCAAATCATTAGATCATATATCAATTTATAAGTCAGACAAATTAGTTTGGATAAAAGCGATAAATATAAATATTTTAAAGTAATTTAATAACCTATGTAATCTCTCTAAAATAGTCAACTAAATCTTATATTAAGGACTAGGGTAGTAATATATATAGACTACCAAGAGCATGCCCTTGGTTTTGTAATTTATCAAAAGAAGGATTGGAATTATCAAGTATGTATGTGCGTGTTGGAAGATACCATTAAGTTTTAATTAAAGATCACAATCATTTCTTTTCATATTAGAATGTTTGAATGAAATTACTATATAAACATGTGACAAAATTATAGACACACGCACGCGACTCTTTGCGCGTACCTGAAAATGAGTTCTGATTCAAAAATAAGCCTCGCAAATATGTGCAGTTACTTATTGATTTTGGAATACTTCCCGTAAATTGATTAAGAGCAACTGAAAAAACTTCAAGTAAAGGGAGTTTATAGCACATCTCTTCTGGCAAATTACCCTTTAAATAGTTATAGGCAAAGTCAACCCATCTCAAAGAAGGTGTGTTGTAGATAGATTGAGGAATTTCACCTGTGAAAAAAAGCAATTTATGAATTTTAGAGATGATATAGAATATAAGCTTTCCAAATAATAAATGGAATTTTGTTGAAGCATCAAAATGATGGATGAGTAGATTGACCATACCTGAAAAGGAGTTGTTACTTAGAGCTAAAGTTTCCAGCATTGTCTGATTCCCAAGAGTTGGTATACTCCCATTTAAACCGTTTCGTCTTAAATGTAATATTCTTAAAGAAGAATTGCTGAAGAGAGATGATGGAATTTCTCCTGTTTAATTGAAAATTTAATGTCAGCAAAACGATAATTAATATTATACTATTAATAACCTATATGCCTTGCTTATTAAGCCTATATTTTATTAAAAGTTCTCTTAATGATAAGCCATATATGCCTTTTTTTAATCACGCATGCATTTTTCAAGAGTCCTGTTCTAATTTATTACTATTGAGTATTGACTATAGAACACTGATTCTGCTACAAGATATAACCGTAAAAGAATTTTCATTTTTATTTATGGAAGTAAAGTATTTTCAATTAGAAATTTTGGAGATAATATAGAACAAGCTTTGCTTTCGCCCGTACCCACATATGTTATATATGATAAATGAAATTTTGTTAAATAATAAAATTGGTGGCTGAGTAGATTGAGAATATACCTGTTAAGGAGTTTTCTTCCAGATATAAATATTCAAACAACGTGCAATATAATATTGCCAATTGATGATGTTAGTCTACCTTTCTCTTTATGAAAAACTAATTTCACATTAATAAACAAAAGTACAAAGGTTAAACATACTGAGCAAACCAAAAAAAAAAAAAAGAGTCTACCTTGACTTTTAAATTACACTTCCATTAAAACACTTAGAAGATGGAGTCATTTAATATGATTCTATAAAATTGGTTAAAAATAATAATTAATGTGTAAAAATACTATTTATTTTCTAAAATCACTCTGACTTGGGAAGTCGATATTTTTATGGCGTGCACGAGTTAATGAAATATATAAAAAAAATGGATATTTTTATTTCACATTGTTTCAGTGATATTCACTTTCATATTAAACTATCTATAACCACAGCTAATTGACACTACTTGAATTACATGTTTAATGCTTTGCTTATCCGTGTTTTGGAAAGTAATCCAGTAGAATATTAATTGTTTATTATATATCCAGATAATTTGTGTTACAAATTAATGACCTATAAACATTATGAAAATAAATTTGCAATTAACCTATCAAGGGTTTATAATTAGAAATCATACCTTCCAAGTTGTTGTTCGAGAGAACCAAAACTTGAAGATTGGGTAAATTTGCAATGTCGCTTGGTATGTATCCTCCGTTGAATCTGTTAAAATCTAATTCCAAAGCTTTCAGTTCTTTGCATTGATGCCAACTAGAGGGCATTTCACCGGAGAGATCGTTTCCACCCACAGAGAAAAATTCAAGTCTTGGGAGCCCAAAACACACATTGGTTGGGAGACCGCCATATAATTGATTTTGGGAGAGTGACAATTCTTGCAGCTCTGAATTATTAAATAATAAAGATGGTATAGTACCTGAAAGCGATCAATTGTTTGTGAGATATAAAATATCTTCATTTGGAATAGCTCCTTAAAATATTGAAAACATGGAGTATGTCAGTAACGTCATAAAAGGGTCAAGGTGTAAAATAGTCTCAGAAGTTTTTCTAGATTCAATATTACGGCGAAGTTTAAAATTGTAAACAATTTTGCCCCATACCATTAAAAATGTTAATGATTAATGTTATTATTTTAGCAGTCAATGTTAGCCTTTCAATAATGGGAGACAAAATTGTTATGATTTTAAACTTTTAGTATAATATTAAATCCAAAAAAGCTTTTGAATCCTCAGTGCTCCTCAGTGCAAACTTTCATAACAAATTTGTATCTTAACCTTATAATCAATGCACTTGAGACCATAATCTTCTTACTCATTTTGAGAGATAACGCCTATAATATACTCTAAATGTTAAAATAAATAATTATTTTCAAAAAGCCATGAGCGTTCCAATCTGGCAGGACTAATATCCATGGACCAAATTGTTATTCCTATGGCGTGCTGAAATATACAAAACATGGAAAGCAAGAGAAAAACATCAGAAACCAACACCTATAGACACTACGAATCATCCATGACATACCTGACAGAGTATTATGAGATAAATTCAATTTTTGAAGTGAAGATAAATTGAAAATTGTTGGTGGAATAGTTTGAGAAAGCTTGTTCCCTGCAATTTGTAACATCTTCAAGTGCTTCAAACTTCCTATCTCAAGCGGAATGCTTCCTTGAATGAAGTTAGAATTCCAATCCAGGATCTCCAACCTTGATAAATTGAATAGAGATGATGGAATAAATCCAATAAGACTATTATTTCGAAAACTCAGGTACTCAAGCATAGATAAATCTCCTATCCATGTTGGAATTTGCCCATGAAAGTCATCGTAGCTCAAGTTGAGCACTTTCAACCTACACAATTGTACCCACTCTTTTGGTATCTCACCGTAAAAATCATTGATACTTAGATCAAGTTCAACAAGGAATGACAGATTTGCTAGCTGTGGAGATATGATGCCTTTAAGACCCGCATCACTAAGTTTTAAGGAATGAACCCTTCTGTGACGTGTATTGCATCCAACACCAACCCAGTCACATGGAGAAGAAGAAGAGTCAGACCAGTTGGCTAAGAGATTGTATGGATCCACAATAGATGCCTTAAAAACAAGGAGTGCAGATTTGTCGACGGTGGAATTCCCCTCGCTCCATGCCAAGGAGGCCATAAAGTAGTGAAGGAAGAGAATGAAAACAAAGGAAGCAAGTTTTCCCATGTTTAGCAAATCAATTACAGCTGCAAGTATGGAGCATCCTGGAATAATACACATTTATCCTTCTCCATATCCAAATTATTGTAGTATTATTTAAAAAATTTCTACAAAAAAGTAATTATAAACTACTGAAAAAAAAAAGATGAGATGCGATGGCAGAAGTCAACCACTTTTTTGGCAGGACTTTCTCACATATCGCTTTCAGGCCAATAAATACTTTCGTTGTGTGTGGGGCCCTTCCATGCACCTTCTTATGAAAAATTGTGTCTACTTCCACGGCCCTTACATGCCCCTTCTCTCACATTATATTTGGTGCTAAATTTTTTCTGAACTAATGTATTTTACTCACACGTTGATATATAGTCTAATAAGCAATGTAAGTATTTTAAAGGGATCACATAACATATATTATACGTAAGTAATTTTGTAATATTTTTAATTTTTTTAAAATTAATCAACTGAATTTTATACTAAGAATTTTATGTATTAATTAATTAATTTAATTTTAGTTTTTAAATATATCATATTATATATAAATTAAGATTATAATAATTTGCGATGTGTGCACATGTGTACACGGGAGGATGATAGAAAAAGTAACGGGGGAAGGAAAATGTTTTTAGGAGAGTGGGGTGAGGTGTAGAAGGGGCACAGGTCAAGGGAGCAGCTTGCCACCATTTTTATAAAAAAACATCATTTCAAAAAAAACGAAGGTGCAAAACTTGTTCTTCTAGAGAACGAGTTCCGTGTATTTTTAAAATCCCACCTGCCTTGAACGATTTTGGATGTAGTATCATGATAAATAATTTTTACAGTGTAGTATCTTGGTAATTAATATTACTGTTTATAACATTTGGCTCAAAAAGCCCAATAATGTCGTAGTGCAGACATCTCATACAACCCGTAACGGTAAGGGAACATGACGTTGTTTTTTAATTGTCGTATGATAGAAAAATTGTGAAATACTAGTACGATTTAAGTTCAGTAGAAGAGGTAAGCCAATCTTTACTGGTAAAAAAAAAAAAATAGAGTTAAGCCAATCTTTTATGAAAAAATTGCAATTAGGTCCCACCTAAGAGAATTAAATGCAAAAAAATTCCTTGAAATTATGAAATTATTCTGAAATCTCAAGGGACTTTTTTGTAATAAATTTTATTTTTTTAATTACCAAATTACCCTTTTTTTTTTTAAAGTTTGTATTAACAACTGAAAGAACAGTCGTTGACAACTTAAAATGCAAGGATTGACAACTATCACGACAGGTATTGACAACAAATTTTCTCAGCACATCACAAAATGTAATACATGAGTTGTTTGGGGTTCTAGATACCCTAAAAAATACTTCATGATGCTGATTGCTAAATGCACCACATACAATTTTGGGGTGCTAGATACCCTAAAAAAATATTTTGAGGTGCTAAAAATCACGTTAACCCTTGTCAAATTTACGAGTATTCCGTTCAGAAATCATGAAAATTGGGAGGGAAACAAAGAAAAAGACACGGCGCATTTTAGTCTGTTGATTGGTTGAACGGTAGAGATTTTCCCAACTTCATCAAACTTCATGCTTTTCCAAAGCAGGTGATCAGCTTCTCGATAGCAACAGTGAGATATCCATTTTTTCATTTAAGGTTTTTTACACAAGGTAAAAAAAAAACAAATAGGATATCAGAATTCTATTTGAATTTCCTGATATAAGTTTAATTTGTTTTATTTATTTCGCTCCATAGTTTTTTCTCTGACTCCTTAATAAAATTTAGTGAAGATATACATAGGAATACTTGAAAAAAAATAGTAATAAATATTTTCATTTTCTGAAGATAAGAAGTTTTCAAAAAAATCTGTTTGCCTTTTTCAGGACGATTATCTAAGTTGTCAATTTTGATTAGGACTCAGTTAAGGTACGTAGTTTTTCCAGTATGATTTTATTTAAACTTTTGAACTCTAAACATTACTTAAAATGAAATGATTGTGAGATATTTTATTATTATTAAAACTATTTAGATATTTAAGGTGTAAATTTTGATTAGGACTCAGTTGAGGTAGTTTTTCCAGTATGATTTTTTTTGCCAGCATGATTTTTTTATTTAGACTTTTGATTTTGAACTCTAAACATTACTTAAAAGGAAATGACGACTAAAAAATCTCTAAGAACATTAATTACAATCAAGGACAAAATTTTTTCAAATTTAATAGAGATTAAGAAAATGATCCTTTTATAAAATAAAATATCTAAAAGGAAATGACAATTAAAAGGTCTCTAACATATTAAATTTAATTTTTAAAATAGTGGTAATTGTTAAAAAATAATCATCATCTGAACTAATGGTTTTAGGATTATAAGAACAAAAAAGATACTTTTTAAAATTAATTAACTAAAATAAAACTTGTGTAAAGTTGAAGAACTATAAGTACATTTTTGCCCAGGAATGTTTGAATTGATGATGATTGATGAGGAGGAATGCTTCAGTCCTCTGGAATTTTTTTTCTTCTTCTTCTTCTTTTTCGTGCTTCAAAGGGAATAAAAGAAAAGGAAAAAAAACAGTAGTGATTATATAGATTTTTTCTTGACGTTACATAAAAACTTATTAACAACATCTAGAGACAATATTACCTTATTTGAAGGAAAATATACCATTCGATTTCAAAAATACATATAATTAGACCATAAATAGCCATAATTGTGCGGTAAAAGATGTTGATATGTTTGTTGTAACACATGCACTCATTATATTTTTCACAGAGTTTAAGTCACAATCTCATATATTTTAAAAAAAAATTAAAAGAGAAATTTGATAGGCTTTGAGGCCATAAAAGATGACGTTGATGCCAGAGAAGAAGAATATTGCGTGTTGTACAATTCCTCACATAGAGTATCACATCTTTATCATCACACTGCATTACTTCATTTGTGGCCACTATTATTAGTCGGAAGTCTTTTGGACTATGTTGGCAAAAAAAAAAAAAAAAGTCTTTTGGAGAAAAGAACTAACGATTCGATCACGGACGAAACAACATTTATGAGAATGAGATTCCCTAAGATATCGATAAAATATTACCCCACCTGTCTTTTTTTCCTTATAAGAGATGATTTTTTGAAAGGGCATGTTGCTATTTATAAGAAATACTTTAGATATGTCTAAATATTTAATGCAATTTTTTTATATTTACTCTCAATTAATTAGATGTTTTCCCACCTTGTTTCCCCCTCATTCTCTCTCCCACCCATTTTTTATAAGGGTGGTTTTGAAAAATAAATTGGTTTTTTTGACTTGTTTATGGCGTCTCACTAATTTTAGCCAACTCTTTTATTAACATGATTCGATTAATCATCTCTTATAAAAAAGAACGAAAGGATATTCTACAAAACTACTATCATTAGACAATATACAAATGTATAAATCATGTGTTTATTTTGATGTTACGTGTCTCTAAAATATATGGCCTTCATCAATCTTACATACAAGTGACTGTTACCTATATTATTCCATTCCATTTATAATATAAGTCACTTCTAGAACAATGATTTGGTTCAAAATACAAGTTACTTAAAAAGTAAATAATATTTATTTGTTAATTTTATCCCTACAATTAATGCTTAAATGTAACTCCTTTTATGTTTCTCTCTCATTCACTGCCTCATATGAGTAAAGTTGAAAAAGATTCTCAATTTAAAACACATTTGATGAATTAACTTACAATTTCTTGATTTTGATTAACTGGTTAAAATGATTTGTATTTTGGACTGACGGAGGTACACAACTTAAGAAATTTATCATTTTAAGTTTTTTTAAATGAATTAAGATGTTTTATAAACTTATCCAATTCTAATACATAAGCAATTAATCAAGAACGTTAGTAGAAAATAAGTATTTTTACCGTTAAAGATCGATGTGACTTATATGTATATATATTCTGAAATTTAAATCTATTTTAAAGAAAAAAGAAAAGAAAAAGTAACTTGATAGCATGATTGTACTACTTTGAAAAAATTAACTCATGGTGTGAACAATCTGACCCATGTGAAAGGCACGTTTGGAAAGAACAAATATAGACATTGAACGCTGTACCCTAAAAGAAGTCAAAATTGCGTAGTCTGTACTCTCTCCCGTGACCGCTTTGCAGACGACGTGTTCTTTGCAATTATTTCTTGCAGCCCGGAAAGAACGTTAGCGTGAGAAAGGAAGTTTGTATGGATATTTTGTTCTTCATTAATATTACTTTCGGTTTTTAATATAAAAGTTAGTTGACTAATTTGAGTAAATTAAAAAAAATTATTAAATGAGTTATTTGTAATAATTAGATATTATTTTTTCTAAAATATCCTTATTAATCTGTATATTAGTTATAACTATTATGTGATGAAATCTTTAACATGTGCAACTATTATAAAGACTATTTTAAAAAAATAAATAAATATCAAAGATAAAATGAATTAAGATATTATATTTAAAATAAAATCAAACTAGTTTTTTTTTTTTTTAAGAATCGGAGCTAGTACGTCAAAAGTCTTTAGAAGTTGCCTCTACTTTCTCTGCTTCATTGACTCATGTCAATATCCTTCCATTGAAGAGCAATTTCCTCACTGTTTTCTCCTAATTCACTCAAATTTTATAAACTTATCCAATTGAAAACAAAACAAAAAAGAAGTCTTTTGGAGACAAAGACTAACGATTCCATCACGGACGAAATAACAAATATACGAATGAGATTCCCTAAGATATTGATAAAATATTACCCCTCCTGTCTTCTTTTTTTTTTTAACAAGAGATGGTTTTTTTGCAAAGGCATGTTACCTTTTATAATAAATAGTTTAGAAGTGTCTAAATATTTAATGTAATTTTTCTTCATATTTACTCTCAATTAATGAGATTCTTTTTTTCACCTTTTTTTTTTTCTCATTCTCTCTCCCAACCTATTTTTTTTATAAAGGCGTTTTTGGAAAATAAATTAGTTTTCTTTTTTGCATATTTATGGCACTTAACTAATTTTAGCCAACTCTTTATTAACATGATTCGGTTAACCGTCTTATAAAATGGAACAAGAAGTATTCTACAAAACTCCTATCGTTCGACACTATACAATTGTATATATCATGTGTTTATTTTGATGTTACGTGTCTCTGAAATATATGACCATCATCAATCTTAAATACAAGTCACAGTTAGCTACATTATTCCATTTGATTCATAATATAAATCACTTCTAAAAGAATGATTTGGTTCAAAATACAAGTCACTTAAAAAATAATTAATGTTTATTTGTAAATTTTATCTCTACAATTAATGCTTAAATATAACTCTTTTTATGTTTCTCTCTCATTCACTACGTCGTTTAATACGGGTAAAGTCGGAAAAGATGTTTAATTTAAAGCACATTTAACGAATTAACTTACAATGTCTTGATATTGACTAATTGGTTAAAATGACTTATATTTTGGAATGACGGAGGTATACAACTTAAGAAATTTATCACTTTAAGTTTTTTTCTGAATTAAAATGTTTTATAAACTTATCCAATTCTAATACATAAGCAATGAATCAAGAACGTTAGTAGAAAATAAGCATTTTTATTCTTAAAGATCGATGTGACTTATATGTATATATATTCTGAAAGTTAAATCTATTTTCTCCTTCAAAAAAGTAACTTGATAGCATGATTGTGTACTTTGAAAAAATTAACTCATGGTGTGAATAATCTGACCCATGTGAAAGGCACATTTGGAAAGAACAAATATAAACATTGAACGTTGTACCCTAAAAGAAGTCAAAATTGCGCAGTCTTTACTCTCTCCCATGGACCACAAGTTCATTGCAATTATTTCTTGCAGCCCGAAAAGAACGTTAGCGTGAGAAAGGAAGCTTGTGTGGATATTTTGTCCTTCGTTGATACATCAAAAGTCTTTGAACCTGGATAAGACCTAAAGTCAAAGTCAATATGATATTGCATTAGGTGGCTCAAGTTGCCTCTACTTTCTCTGCTTAACTAACTCATATATCCTTCCATTCAAGAGCAATTTTATTGCCTTCCCCCTGCCCGGATTACAAGTCATGGCGGCATTACGTGTATAATATTTTCATTTTTATATATTTGATCTTTTTATCCAAAAAAAAAAAACATAGAGAGAGGTTTGGTATTAATTGGGAGAATGACATTGAAATCACGGGGAAGGGAGAATGAAATTTCTAATAATTATATAATAGTCCTAGAAAAAACTCTTAGTCTTTTTTATAAGATCCTTTGACAGTTTCTATGAGTATTAAATATTTTTTTTTCATATATGTCTATATTTAATGTGAATAGTGAGAATAAAAATTAACATGATGTTAGAATTTAGTGTTATCAATAAGGGTAATTTTAGAAACTATTTGAATTTCATGATAGTTTAAAGTTTTTAACTAGTTTTATTGGTATGTGCAAATTAGTTAGTGTATCCTTATAATAATAAGGACCAGAGAGAATATCAAACAATGTGTTTCGATCATTGGTGGTTTTAATTTGGATTTAGATTTGGATTAAATTCATTATTTGGATAGATAAAAATTTATGGGATTTCGATAATTGAGTAACCATTGTCCTTTTCCCATGCTACCTTCCTCTTTTAGCTGTCTCTGCCGTTTCATGTTAAACCATTATCTTCTAAGTATGTGTTATAGGTTTGAATTAAAACATAGGAATAAAATTTGAAATTGTTATACTCCCCCGGTTCCTACTGTGTTGAATACAGATTTAGACAACAAATATATAGATAATAAAGAAATTAGTTAAATTTGTTATTTAATAAATATGACTTTGTTTCTTCTTCTTTTTTTTCCTTTTTAAATCAAAGTAAGAGCTGCATCATTCATCAATCGTGCAGTAGCACCACCACAGCGCATACAGTCGGACCCAATTTAACAGGAAACCTCTGAACATCGTTAACATTACTAATAAAAAATGCTAATTCAAGGATTTTAAAATGATGAATGGGTATTTACATGTTGACATATAAATTTATAATTTAAAATATTTAAAATAAAACCTTACTTTTATCAACAATTTTGTAAACAATTTAATAATTATGAAATAAACAATTTTATTTCTTTATTTTTATCATTGAAAAAGTATCTAACTAATATTTAAAATTTCTATTATATTAAAAATTCAAAAATTATAAGTATTGTAAGGGTTAGTGTTAATTATTGTTAAATTTTATACTAAATCTGATATCATAATATAAAAGCTAACCATATAAAATTAAAAATTTACAATTTAAAATATTTTTGAAATATTATTTTCATGAAAAGTCAAGAGTAAGTCCTATAAAACCATGTTTAAAAAGTCAGGCATAGGAAATAATTATGTTTGAATAAATTTTATTTTAATTTAAATATTCTTTAATTTACAAATTTTAAATTAAAATTAACGTGTCGGTATTTAAATGCTGAGTCGTCATTTTGAAATCACTGACTTAGTATTTTTCATGGCATTATGTTTAAGGGGGCTAAATACATACTTCTTAAATTTAAATGATTAAATTAAAACTCAATGTAAACTTAATGGATAGATGTACACTTTATCCAAATTATAAATGTGGAAGGCAAAATGGATTGATATTTTATATTTATGTTAAAGTATACATTCGATCCTTTAAATTTATCTCAACTTTCAGTTTAAACCCCTAAGCTTAAAAGGTGTATTTTTAGTCTTTAGCCTTAATACCTTTAGTCTCATTTAGAGAAAAGTACTGATTCAGAAAATTTAAACAATGAATCTACAATTGAATACTGACCAAGAGTTTAAGCATTTATAAAACATTTAAATGTTGACTCTTCCTTCTTCTCTTTAAAACTAAACAATAGTATTCAATGCAGTAGTGCCCAATGGGCTCAGGTAATTATTTAAATTTGGATTCTTTATTATTTTTTGTTACATAATCAACATTTGATCAGGGTTTAAAGTAAATTAAAGTTTGAGGTTTACAAAAACATAAGCAGAGGATAGAGGGGGAAAGATAAAAAATCCAAGGCAAGCTTCGCTTCATTAATTAAGAAAACCATTTATTTCTAAATGTTTTGCAATAGCGAAATTGGAAAGTAGGAAAACAAATTTCCAAGCTTTGTATAGTTGTCTTAAAAAAAAAAAAAAGGACACCATGATCTTATTAGTTAAATATAAATTTGACGCAAAATAAAAAAAAATAACATGAAGATATCCAAAAACCCAAATAATTACTCAAGATCTGAAATCTCAAATATCACCCCTCCAATTCACGAGATGTTCTACAAATAAAACAAGCCAAAAGGTTGAGGAAATAGTAATAACTAAAATTTGATTTTAAGAGTCATTCACCTAATGGCTGGTGCCTAACACTTTGCATAGATGTGACCTTATTTTTTCCAATGAAGCCCCAATATCTGTCATATCAGGTCGTGCCTCAGGTACATCAATGCAACAGTTTAAGGCCAATTCAAAAATTGATGAAATATGTGGTAATATGTTACCAATATTTGGATTGTGTCTATCCAGCAGATTGTCATCTAAAATACTGATGATTGAATGTGGTATTGATTCGCCAACCCAATCTTTTAAATTTAAGCCTTCACCAAACATTTCATCTGTTGGCTTTTTTCTTGTGAGTGTTTCCATAAGCAAAATACCAAAACTATATACGTCTCCTTTAACAGAAACAGCTCCTTTTGATCCATACTCTGCATGCCAATTTGAATGCCAAGTAAAATAGCAATTATGTCAAAGAAAAAAAAGACTTTTTGTTAAAACATTGTGAATGTTTATCATTAATATAAATCATGGAATGTTGAAAAGTGTGTATATATATTCATCAGGAGGAATCGAGTAACAAAATATAGTTTCTTGCAGGATGTGCATGCGTGTGTGAATGTGTGAGAACATTTTTTTTAACTTGAAAAAAGAAATATAAAACATAATAAGATTACCGAATCATCACCTGGTGCCATATAACCAAATGTAGCCAAAGTTTTGGTAAAAATCTCTGATTGCCCAAAGCCCAACAATTTGGCAATTCCAAAATCACTGAGATGCGCTACCATATCGTTATCCAACAAAACATTGCTCGGCTTCACATCACAATGAACCACTGGTGAAGAAGAACCATGATGAAGATACTCAAGTGCAGATGCCACATCAATCATTATATCCAACCTTTGCAGGATGTCTAAACAATAGTTATAGGAGTACAACCATCTATTAAGACTCCCGTTTGGCATAAATTCCATTATTAGAGATTTGAAATCATTATCTGAGCAACTGCTAATGATCTTAATAAGATTGCGATGACGTAAATTGCATAGCATAGTACATTCAACATCAAAACTCCTTAATGCTTCTTCCAAGTCCAAGCTGAAAACTTTCAAAGCAACTATTTTTCCACTTGAAAGAATTGCTTGGTACACAGACCCAAAACTTCCCTTACCAAGAAGATTACTCTCATCAAATCTATTTGTTCCTTGCAAAAGTTCATAATAGGATATCCTGCCTGGGTCCAAATTTAAGAAATCCCTCTTGGTCCTTTCACCCACTTGATGCTTCCTACACTTGACAAACACTATGCAAGAACCCACCAAAATGATTGCGACCACGATAGGCAATAAATATTTGATCAAAAGCATCATTTTAGCTGACCTGTGCTTTTCTCTTATAATACATGGATGAACTCCTAATTGGGGCTTCCCACAAAGATCTTTATTCATAACAAAAGATTCTGCTCTAAAATTTTTAAAAGGCCCACCATATGGAATTTCTCCATGCAATAAATTGTAGGAAAGATTAATGTATTTCAAATGGGAAAGTGACTCTAATGACTTCGGAATCTCACCAGACAAATAATTTTGAGAAAGATCTAAAAACTCAATGCTTAACATGTCACCAAAGGATTCTGGTATAGAACCTTGTAAATTATTATGAGCCAACGATAAGTTTTGCAAACTTTGTAAGCCTCCTATCGTTATAGGAATGTTTCCTGTAATTTGATTTCTTGACAAGTTCAATTGTATAACTGATCTCAATTTGGACACCTCAGGCGGAATTCTTCCACTAATTGCATTGGAAGATAAGTCTAAGACAAAAATATTTTTGAGATTCCAAAGAGAAGAGGGAATATAGGAAGTCAATTTGTTGGAGCTGAAGTCCAACCTTTGCAAACTAGAAAGATTCTCAAGGCACCTTGGAATTGTTCCTGAAAACATGTTATTAGCCAAATACAACACATTCAACCTTTTTACTTGGCAAAGTTCTTCGACAATGGACCCTTGCATTTTGTTGTTACTGACATCAAAAAGTTGAAGGCTTTGTAATTTGTTAACTGTTGGGGGAATCAACCCATTCAAATCATTCGCTCCCACATATAATGCCACCAAGTTGGTTAAATTCCCAATAACATTATATACTTCTCCATTAAATTTATTCCCGTTTAAAAATAACTTATAGAGTTTAGAAGCATTTACTATGCTTTTTGGAATTTGTCCAGAAAGTTCGTTTACTTCCACACTAAAATCTTTCAGGTTCGGAAGGCCACTTCCTAAATATGATGGGAGAAGGCCGGAGAAGAAATTAAACCCAAGGTACAGTCGCTGTATTGCTGAGATGTTGAATATATTAGAAGGAATATGTCCGCTTAAATGATTCGCGGAAAAATCTAATTGTTCAAGTTTATCAGGATTGCCAATGTCTTTGGGTATAGAACCTGAAAAAAGAAACACTGATATATGCTAATATTTCTATAAAGGAATGGACTTACAAAAAGAATAAAATATAAGAAATGCTTTTTGTATACTATTCTCCTTGGTTTTAAAGGTAAGAGGTGATAAAAGGGTTTGTTTTGATTTTAAATATACAATCGCAATCTGTTTTATCTTCAAATTTATAATTTTTTCTCAACAAATCAGTTTTTAATGCAAATGTTCAAAAGTGATATTTTAGAGAAATCAACCTACAAATAATTAACTTAACTAATTTTCTTAATATATGCAAATAATAAGTTATCTAGCTCATGCATTCAGAACCAATGGGAGTATTTGCATACATATATATAGTATATATGAATGAATCGTTTAATATTACATAAACTAACCATATTTTGTTAAGCTTAAAATAGTTTACCACTTTTTGGAAAATCCTAATTTATTTAATCAATTACATGTACGTTAAGAAATAGGTGTGTACTCTCACCTAAAAAAAAAAAAGAAATAGGTGTGTACTGTATGTGTATTGGATACGGGTATACCTGTAAAAAAGTTGCCACCCATGTATAATCCTTTCATAAATGTGCAGTTGCTTATTGATTTTGGAATGTTTCCTTCTAATTGATTGGAAACAACCGCAAAGACTTCAAGTAAAGGGAGTCCATAGTACAGATCTTCAGGCAAAGTACCAGATAATTGGTTGATGCCAAGGCTAAACTCTCTTATGGAAGGCATGTTGAAAAGAGACTGAGGAATTTCACCTGTATTTTTTTTTAAAAAAAAAAAAGAAGACACAATCTATGAATAATTTTTCTTAACTATCTCTTTGATTAAGAGTTAATCTGTTTAAAAGTAACAAATGATTTTACTCAAGCTAAACATCAGGGATTTGTTTGTTTTTAATTGTTTGTTTAATTTTTTAATATAATACCTTTAAAAAACTATTTTCAGTCTATTTTGATAAACTTCTTGGATAAGCTTTTTTAAAACGATCACTTTCTTAAAAAGTATCCCCCACCCCCCTCATTGTGTAAAGGTTTTATGATGAGCTAAGTAAAACGACTATCAATCCTTTAAATAATTTGAAAATCGACCTTCTTTTTTTTTTCCTTAAACAGACAGGACCTAATCTTTTTAAATGATAATTGATTATGAAACGGACTCTATTAGAAGACACTCAAACATATTTCTGGTTCTATTGAAAGGGCAAAGACTAAGAAAGAATATTTTTTTGTTTTTGATATAAGTTACTTGATTGATTAAATTTATTATATGAACGTATAATTTTACTCCCAATTTATTTATTTTTATTTAACTGTTATATTTTTGGAAAGTATATATATTAAATATGAATAAAGTTTTTAAAAAAATGGGCAAAGTTGAAATTTATTAAATTTTAAGATAGAAAAGTTAATGAACTTAAGATTTTTCTTGATTCTAGTGATACATGTTTAAAATGCTTTATAAATTGGACCGGATGAATACAAGTATACTAAAGTTTTTAATTTTATTATAAAATAAGTATAATGAAGTTTTTAAAAATTAAAAACAAGTACACTGAAGTTTTTAATTACTTTTATATAAAGAGTTAAAATATTTTTGAGTAAGAATTTTGGAGATAACATAGGAGAAGCTTTGCTTTCTCCCACACTCAAATAAATAAATAAATAAATGAATAAGTGGAACTTCGTTAAATAACAAAATTAACGGATGGTAGATTATTGAACATACCTGTGAAGGAATTGAATTGTAGAAATAAGAAATTGAGCAGTGTTTTATTGCGAAGTGATGTTGGGAGAAAACCATTTAAGTTGTTTCCCTCCAAAGATACTTCTATTAAAGAAGAAATATTGCTGAAGAGAGATGATGGAATTTCACCTGCTCAAAATTAAAAGTGAACAACCGTATAAACTATATATTACTTTAAATTAAGGGGAACTAATAGATGCATGGCTGACATTGACTTTAAAATTGATATAGGTGCCAAGAAAAGAGCAAAACATAAAATAGAATTATAGAGAGAAAAATATGAAGTCATATTAATTAATTTCATCTGAAAATAAGATAATACTATTATAATATATTAAGTCACACATCGACTAACTAAAAGATAAATTAAAGATTCCCTTCTGACTGACTTTTAATTGGATCCGGGTCCATCTAATATATTAAGTCACACATCAACTAATTAAAAGATAAATTAAAGATATATAGCCTTGAGGTAATATGTTGGCTTAAACTGTTTAGATAGGGGGAAAAAAATCTAAGATATACTTAATTCACTAAAAATCTAACAAATACGACCGATATAAGGATGGGTGTGCTAGCGCCCTGTGAATTATATTCCTTCTAATTAACTGACTTATTTTACATAGCATGCCTTCTGACTGACTTTTATTGGACCCGGGTCCATCTAATAAAATTCTATACTTCTTTTGGACATCTTCCCCCATATTTTTATACATATTTTTCTAAAGGAACCAAGATATTTCACCGGTTAATTAAGATGGGTACGTTTAGTATAGTGGTAAAGCATGCATATATATACTGACAAAACATTTCCGTAAAATTGATTAAGTTTGCCAAAGAAAAACATTTTCTTACTCTTTTATTAATCCATTCAAGTACTTTTTTCTTAATCTATTTTTCCTGGAAATTGTCGGATATCTTGTTAATTGTCCCCCATATTCTATAGTCAGCCTTTCAGTTGATTAGTACATATTTGCCTCACTCTTGCTGCTATTTATTCTTACTCATTATTTTCACTTTCGGATTAAAAAAAATCTAATTTATAGCCAATTTACAACTGACTTGCGTGTTTTTTTTTTTGGTCGAGTAGTTACTTGTTATTTTTTTCTCTATCAATTGAATTACTATTATTACTACTAGAAATTATGAACATCAAATTAACTTGAAGAAAATTAGCAATCAAAATATAATAACTTAAGATAAACAATTAAAAGATATGGATATAATTAAAACGCATGCCTTCCAAGTTGGTGTACGAAAGATATAAATATTGGAGGTTGGTCAAATTTGCAATGTCACTTGGTATGACTCCTCTATTGAAATTGTTTCCACTTAATTCTAGATCTACTACTTCTTTGCACTGATGCCATATATGGGGCATTTCACCAGACAAGTCATTTTGAAATAGATAAAGAGCTTCAACTTTTGGAAGCCCAAATCATAAATTTATTGGGAGATTACCAGAGAAGTTATTTGCACCAAGATTAATGTCCTGTCATCGACAAAGATGGAAGATTGCCAATCTCAATAGGAACGCCTCCTTGAAGTATCAAAAACAAACAAAATGTCAGTATATCAACTTTATAGCATGCATATAGTTTAATTTCAATTAACCTTCATAAGTTAATATGATTAGTACGTGAATTTTTTCCATCAAGAGAGAAGGACGACAAGAGAAAAAAAAAAAGCTTTTATATTAAGGAGGGAAGATAATAATAAAATATTCCAAACTGTTATTTGACATTATAAGAATTAGCGAGCTCCTAAATTAACTGGAAGGAGTTTTTACTAGCTTGACCAAAGTCGTAGTGCTTAAATCCTGTGTGTGTATGTCTCACCTTTAGTTTAGTAAACTCATGGTGTGAACAATCTGACCCCACAAAAGGCACATTTGACCCGTGAATAATCTCTAGAACTCTAATCTCTATTATAAGTTATTTATAGAAAAAAAGTTTGGTTTCAAATATTCCTCTTGAAGAGTTACTAATGATAGTTTTTCAATTTTACTCCAATTTAATTTCTGTTGAAAAAAAAGAGAAGAGAAATATGCGAATTATTTGTAAATATAAAAAAATTAATAAAAATAAATTTGAAAAATTTTATTAATTTGAGACATATTTAATATATTTCTTGGTAGATGAGAAAGGGCTACAAGTAATTTATAATAGAGACCGGACCGGTATTGAATAACCTATATGTTCACTCATGGTGTGAACAAATAAAGTCTCGTGGAGTGGCACGTTAGAGTTTTTAGAAGACCTCATAGTCACCGTCAATTTTTTATTTTTGTTACATAGTCATCGTCAATGTGACAACAACTAGATTTGAAAACTCAGCACTCCACTGTTTTGAATGGAAAGGTCAAGTCCGCATCGACGCAACTGCGTATTAGAAAAATGGGCGTGAAGACAGGAATTTTTTTACTTTTGAAAAAAAGAACTAAAGATTCCATCACCGAAGAAACAATAATTTTGATATTTGCTAAGATATTAATAAAATATTGTAATGATATATAAATGTATAAAAAGAGGCCGTCAAAGCAAAAGATTGTTGTCAATAACATTTTAATTTAGAGGCTTTAAAATTCTCCTATAAACGACAAGTTGCGAATTTGATCCTATCTGTAATTTCAGGCTATCAACCTTTCGAAAGAAAAGAAAAGATTATTGCTATATTGAAGAGGTTCATTTATATTGTGAAACATAAACCTAATTTTTTTATATAAAAAACTTGAAAGTCACCATACAGGAATCAACTTTCAACTGCCCCGATAAGAACGACGGTTGAAAAATTAAAGTTTTAGGTATTTTTGATCATTGTCATCACCATTTTAGAAAATAACGGGAGTATCTCCTTTCTTTCTTTTTTATGTAGTGAGAAATTAATGTCATAACTCAAAAATTAACGTCTACTAACAGCACAGTTACTTGTCCTATATTTAAAAAAATTAATATCAATGTAAAAAAATAGTTAATTTGTAAAGTATCAAATCATATTCAGGAGAATTACCCTTAATTAGACTCAATAATGTTCAAATTTGAATCAATCAGATAGTCATATAAAAAGATCATAAATATTTTATTTATTAGTAATTGAGTCTATAAATAAACGAGAAAGATATACACGAAAGGCGTGGACATGCTTGTATGGGCCTAACACGTAAAAATTGCGTGTTGTATAGTTCACTTGGAAGACCACATTTTCATTTCTGTAAGGCTCTAATTCATCTGTGGTCTAGGTGATAGGTATATCACAAAAAGATCGCCAGCGAGGAGAAGCTAGAAGCTTGTGTGGGTACATTAGTGGATGGCCATAATTCAGCGTTACACAATTTGATTTGATGGGTCGATTTTAGTGCGTAGGGGAAATGAGTATGATGAAGATAAGCTAGATATATTCGTTGCTTAAACAGATCATGATATTTTCACCTAACAATATCGCGGGAATTTTTAAAGAATATCTTCTTTAACCATGATGTTAAGCCGGCACAAGCTAACGTATAACTTTTATTTGTTGGGAGCTTCGAACTTAATGACACCAATGACCTTCTTAAGCGTGAAATAACGAGTCTTGTCCTCTATAAATAGGGTTAAAGTACAAATCTATTCATAAATTATTGCATCATTTTGAAAATTTTATGTATATTTTTACATTATTTTCTTTGTTGACATGTTTGTTAGATAGTCAATATTAGTTTGACTTAACCACCGTGACAATTTTGCACCATGTTGAATATTTTATGTGCATTGTTGTCCTTAAAAAATGTTATAATATCTAGTAACCCTATAAATATGATGGGTGAATGAGTTAGAATGAATGATTAAAAAAAGGAGTTTAACTTTGAAGCATTAATTAAGGTAATTTTGTAGTTAAATCAATTATGAGATTGAAAGTACATTCACAAAAATCAACGCAAATGATGTCTTCAGACAAAAATTGAAAGGTCATAGGCATAAACAACTTATGTAAGACCCATACACAAATAT